CAGAGAGTGTTCGCAAAAAATAGATATATATATATATATATATATATATATATATATATATATATATATAGCATATGTATAGCATACATCCTGAGTAAGGAGAGATGTTCAGCCAGACAGGGGGAACAATCAGTGAGTGTGACTTACAAAGACAGTGTACCGGGCAAATAATCATTCTTGTAGGCGATTCCAAAAGTAGCCAGAATGGACGATATCACGAGTCCAGCAGCAAACGTCATCCCAGCCGCGACATTCCTGAAAGAATGAGAGAGCCAGAGGATATGGTGATAGATTCGTTGTACATGGTAGAAGGAGGTTCTTCAGAGTGATGCCTGAATTAGCGTTTTCCACGAATTAGTCGATTCATGGAGACCCCAAAATGGTCGTTTGAGAACGCGTCTGCTCAATCGCATATGCTCCACTGACGAAGACCAATGACTGCTTTTGAGGCTCACCTTAATATCAAGGGACATTACTGGGTCCTTGTATTTTCATCATATCATATTTGGAATGTCAGTTGGCTACCCTAGCGCAGTCGTTCTGGCTCGGCCTCTTTAGAACCGTAAAATAGTGGACTATTGCTTAACACCAATAAGATTTGATTAGGAGTGCAACATATCCTTGATTGGCCATGCTGATTTTCGAACCCTGGATAGTTGACGTGCCAGGAAGCCTACACAAACCAGATGTGATAATCTAGAGGCGCGCAGCGCATCGTGGTGTACTGATGGTGGCACGAATGTTTCGCTATGGCGCGTAGAGTTTCAACAAGAGAAAAATTACTGTCGTGCCGCAACCACAATCTCAAATATAACTGCCAATACCTACTCGTTTGTAACACCGTCGAAATAATAAGGCTTAAAAATCCACGGAAGCGTAGAAGATTAGCTCTCCCGAGAAGTGTACTAGTTCAAGAAACATAGCTCGGATATGTATATGCTCACAGTACCAACACTGCTGTTTGCAGGCGAAGATGACGTAGCGACTTGGCAGTCATCTCGCGGGAGGAGACACGAGAACGACGCTCACTTAGTGGTACAAACGTAGACCACAGCATGCGAGCCAGAGACCTCGAGAGAACGAACTTGAGCTCTAACACTGGGAGTTGTCACCATCAAAGTGTCTTATGTAGTGATAATCCGCCTTAAAAGGTGTCAATCAACAGCTTTTGAAATGAAGGTTGATGATTCACTCGAGAGTTCACAATGTGGGGCTTTGACGAAGACCTTCCTATCTTAGACAAGTGAGACCACGTTCAGTCATAGGAACGCGGTACTATCATAAAGAACATCATTTCTATTTTGCACACAGTTATTTCACGTCCATCCGGTAGCACGTGTTACCCACAGCGCTAATCGAAGGACGATTCGCTAGATTAATCCGCATCACAACTAAATAAATAAATAAATGGACAAAAGATAACTGCCTATAATCAGCTTTGATTTTCCAACTCGTCGGATGGTAATCTGTCTAGAATACCTTATGATTAGTGTAGTACGTCTATTTATGTATAGCTATACCTCGAATATCGCACCAACTGAAACATGAGGTGGCCTGGTGCAACACATTCAGTTGCTTAGAAAAACATCATAAACGAGAGATTCAGCTGGGCTCCAGGCTCGCAAAACCGAACTTGTTTGCAAATGAGTGTATT